CTTTGGGCGCGTTCCACTTAACGACCGCGACGCTCACGGTATCATTTCATCCTTGTTGTTCACCGAAAGTTAAACAAAGACAGATGATGCTCGCGAGCGTTGCGGTCGTTAAGTGGAACGTGCCCTACATGTAGCGTTTTACCGGTCATTCCGAGTTCAACTGATGTAAGACTGCGTGTTACACTCGACGAATTTGTGATTTGTGCTGCAAAAGATACCACATTTTATCCGTACCTGCAACAGGAAAGATATATGTAAATATAAAACTTCATTATAAATTATTCATTTCGTGGAAATCGCTGCATAAGTTATTGTCCATAAGACAACGAAGTATAGGGTTATGATTCCAGTATATAAGAAAGAACTTGTACTTGCAAAATTCTCACACATGTAATGTTGCATATATGCAGTCGAATAATAATTCCACATTAAAAGATATTGCTGCTTCATCAATTGCAGGATGTAGTTGTTTGAGTATATATATTTAAGAATAATATTGACATTAGACATTGCGTAAATGTATATAGAAGCATCTTGTTCTTCTTCCACTTCTTCACATAATTGTGCATTTTCTTTACTTTCTTAAAACCTTACTTTGTTAAAACCATCTTTTTGCAAACATTCAGCGTCTTGCTTTGTATATTAATAATTATGTATATTAATAAACGTACTTTAATGCGGTAACAGTGTCTTGCCAGTTCTGAAAAAACATGCTTTCTTCTTTAATATGTCCATAAATGTTAGAATTCTTCTAAATATACCACAATATAATGCTGTTGTGTAATGTTATATCAAGGGAATAAATTCACTTTAATCTTCAAATAAAAATTATTGAAAGTCTCTCAAAAGCCTCATTCGTAGCTGTTATTAGATAATTAGAACTCTCTTTCAACATAGATGAATGTACGTTAGATAAATCAGTTAGTATTCATGTCTGATCAATTTAATACAGAGTGTCGAATGTGCAAAATATTAAATCAATAGTTATAAGAATTTATATAATGTCGCAACTATGATACACACAAAATAGACGAAAAGTATGAGATGCATTCTTTTATCATACGATTGTAAGAGTTTCTAGCAAATTATTTATATATGTTACATATTATTAATGTGCATGTATGCATGTTGTAGAAATATAAACAACAGAGGTGTGTGTGCGCATTCTTAACCCGTAGTAACCACACCTCTATTCAGTATACGTACTAACCACACTAGTGCGATTTGGGATTTTGCATTTTTAAAGTTCCATAACTCGCGCATAAATAATCCAAAAATGTTTGATAATATAAGTTTCTTGGGGTAAAAATTCCCCAGGAATCCAATGGTAATGGTCTCGAATGCAAAAAATAATTTTGTAATAGTGAAAAAACGTCAAAATCAAAATCAAATTTTAAAAAAATCGGTTTTTTTTTCAAAAAATCGCCATTTTTTTCTATTTGACAGAAATAAATGCTTTTTTTAAATTAAACAAAATGTATTTTGGAAAAAAAGATATTTTATAAACATTATAGAATATTAAGGATTTTTTAGGGGTGTTTGAAGGTATGGTATATTTGAAAGGTGAAAAAATCAGTAAATGGTTTGTTTATAATAGACAAAAGTATTTATTTTTTCAAAAAATGACAAAAATACAAAATTATTCTTCATCTACGTTTTTATCCTTACTTTTAATCTAAATTTATGGCGCACTCAATGCAAAGCCCGCATCTATGATCGTCGCAAATGCGGCGCAAGCAATTATTACATTTCATACGCGTGTGGCTGAAGGTTTCATTGTCACAAAGTCCGCATTTCGCGCGATTTTCCACGCGTATGACTTTGTAGCCACTAACTGCAGGCTCATCAATTTTTAACATTTTACAAATTAATTTTTTCGTGGTCAAGCGTAAGGATGGGCGCTGCAAACGGCGCTGTAGCTGCGGCTCGATCAACGCGCATGCTAAATCTTTTATAAAGTAACTGCGGTTTAGTCTAACATTTTTTGCAATTAAATTAAACAGAACGCAGCAATTAATGGATGCTTGATTGAGCATGTTATAAAAAAATTTCAAACGCATCTTTGAGTGCGCCGCGCAACGGAAAAAGTATGGCACTTCTGATCAAACGCATCTGTGGCTCCTTTGTTTGCGTTATAATACATGATAATTTCGGGCTTTTTGGTTTTACTATCAATCGCTTTATTATGATGCATCGAAGACAGAAGTAAAACAATTTTATTTTTTTTAGGTACATACGAAACAAGCGTTAACTCGTTTGTAAATACGAAACGCGATGAATTGATTTCGCTCGCTATTTTCAATCTCGATGGAATCTCGCGCTTATTTTTTCTTATTGTACCGACGGCTCTCAACTGATATTTTTTTTTCAATAGCATAAATAGTGGCACTGATGTAAACCAATTGTCCATTGTTATTGTTCGCCAAGAATGTACCAGTGATCCGCATTCCACTAATTTGCGCACAAAATAAGTCGGCACAGAGTCATTGTCTTCGGGTGTTACTTTTCCTACATAGGGAATCGCGGAAATCATATAAAATGTTTTTGCGTCATTTAACATTAGAATTTTCAGACCGTACTTATCCGGTTTGTTTTTCATGTAAATGCGGAAAGGACACCTACCACGAAAACTAACTAACTGTTCATCAATCGTACAATTGCTTGACGGCTCGTAATTAGTAACACAATTTTTTATGAAAATTTCCCAAATCTCGCGAACAGGAGCTAGTTTATCGGTAAATCTTCTCTGTCTCCGCGTTTCCTTATCATCAAAACGTAACGTAGAAAGAAGAAAATTAAACCGCTGCTCTGAAAATACAGCCCGATAAATACCGCACCCGAATTCCTCTGACCACATATCTCTTGTATATAAAGTGTTTTGTTTTAGCACAGCAGTATAATATAAAATACCAATTAACGCATTAATTTCAATTTGATCCGTTGTCGACTGATAAGATTGAATAATTCGATTATCTCGCTTCAATCGCGTTATCTCACGCGTTATTTGCTCGTTAGTATGCGTCACAATTTTGAGCGGTGTCCAATCGTGCGGTGTCCAATCGTGCGGTCTCCAATAATGCGGTGTCCAATCGTACGGTGTCCAATCGTGCGGTGTCCAATCCTGCAGTGTGCGTGTCCAATCGTGCGGTGTCTAATCGTGCAGTGTCCAATCGTGCGGTGTCCAATCGTGCAGTGTCCAATAATGCGGTGTCCAATTGTGCTGTGTCCAATAATGCGGTGTCCAATCGTGCAGTGTCCAATCGTGCAGTGTGCGTGTCCAATTGTGCAGTGTCCAATCGTGCGGTGTCCAATAATTCTGTTTCCAATCGTGCAGTGTCCAATCGTGCCGTGTCCAATACTACGTGTCCAATCGAGCGGTGTCCAATCGTTCCGTGTCCAAACGGGATACGCCCGGGGACGGCAACCTCCTTGCTACTGCTAATGTTCTTAATAAATCGACGTCTTCAAGTGAGTCTAACCTCCCAAAAAGAAAGCGCACCGCGGACCAAACCGGTTCAAATTTGCATTCTGTTACAGAATCTGCCTCTGGCTCTAAAGCCAAAAAATCATCTAATATTACATCTCTTAACGATGCTCTGTTGGCAAATAGGTACGATGGCCACTGTCAGGGACCATTCGACGTCTTTGTACAACACATAGTTAATTCTAGCACATCGTTACATCCTCTAACAGTCGAATCCTCAGTGCGTCCACAAAACAGGACATTGTTGAAATAAAAAAAAGGCTTTTCAAAAATTTCTGTGCAAATGAACTCTCGTAAAGCAGCTAATGATCTCATTAAGAATCCGGCTCTTAAAGCCAAAAACCTAATTGCATTCATTCCATCTTTCAGAACATCTAGACAAGGTATCATCAGGAATATCCCTCTCGAATTCACGGAAGAGGAAATCAAAAAAGAAATCGTTTGCCCATATGACATAGTCAATGTCAGGAGACTTAACAGAAGATCTTCGACTTTATCTGACTCTGGGTTAGGATCAGTGAATTATATACCATCCAAAACGGTCTGTATCGCATTCAAGGGACAGGTTCTTCCTAAATACATTTTCTTCTGCATGGTAAGGTATGATGTCACTCCTTTTATCTCTAAAATTTCTATTTGCTCTTCATGCCTTCGCTATGGCCACACAAGCACACAATGCAAGGGACATCTTCGATGTTCTCATTGTGCTGAACGCTCTCACGAAGAGGGCTCTTCTTGTCCAAAAATAAACTCACCTCCCTCTTGCGCAAATTGTAATGGTCCTCACAACTCAAGAGACCTCTCCTGCCCAGAGCATCTCATTCAAAGGCAGATCAGAGAATTAGCCGCCACCAAAAATATTCCTCTCATTGATGCCAAAAGACACATCCGTAGCAATAACTCTGGTCTAAAGACTAACCCGCAATTTGACTTCTCTAACTTTCCTGTACTAAATGAACCTTCTTCTCCATACTCCCCATCCTTCTCCCCGAATATTGCAACCTCACCTTCCACTTCCTTCCCCTTCTCCTTTGCCGATACTGTTAAATACCCTCCTACTTCCTTATCCTCCTCCTTTCCCTCTCACCCTTCTTCACTCCCTCGCCACTCCTCTTCTCTCTTTTCCAAAAGACCTCCCCCTCTGAAACATCCTCCCACCTCTCCTTTTCGCTTTTCTAGCACTCTCAGATCTCCCAATTCAGATAATCGTTTCGTTTTTCCTCCTCTTAGCTCTTTTGTAGCTCCTAACGGTCGAATGCCGCAGGCTTATCCTAATGGTTCAGCCTCTTACTCTTCAACCTCTTCCAACTCGCCCCCTCAATCTCCTAATCCTTTGGACTCTAACCAAAACTTCCAATTCTCTCTCTCTTTACTTTTAAAACTTTTACTGAACCTGGTCGAGAAATTCTCTCCCTTTCTCAAAACCTTCGGTCTCTACGACGACATTTCCTCTCTCCTTCGATCTGCATTCAACGAAAACAATTCCTTAAATCAATTCTACAATGCACACGCTTCGAACATATAATCCTCCACGCTATATCTCTACACTTAAGATCCTACAGTGGAACTGTCACTCTTTTATGAATAAGATCGACCTTCTCCACTCCTCCATGCACGAATATGATTTGATAGCTCTCTCAGAAACTTGGCTCAACCCCTCCCAATACCTTTCGCTAAGAAACTTTAATGTCATTAGAAACGACACCATTATTCGTAACTCCGGCGGATTAGCCTTTGCCGTATCGAACTCAATTCCTTATAAGCTCTTAGATAATAACTTCTCTATTTCAGGCAATATAGATCCCAAAGCCATTATCATTCCTTTTAACAATAGCTCATTACTAATAGTTTCTATTTATAGATACCCGCGAGGCTTCCTTCCTGCCGGTGTCTGGGACGCGCTCTTTCAATTTTACGGTACCTTCACTTCTACTATCATCATAGGAGACTTTAACGCCCATCATACCAAATGGGGATGCGAACGTTCTGATCACAACGGGCTTAGCCTCTTGAGTTCTGCTCTTTCACACTCCTTCATGTATTTGAACGATGGTACCCCACTTTCGTTTCTCGCCCGAACCAAAGTCGTTCTGCTATTGACCTCACCTTCGCCTTCGCCTCCCTACTTCATTGCTGCTCATGGGAAGTCCTACCCGACTCCCTGACCAGCGATCACTTCCCCATCTCCGTCGCTATTAACCTGATGATCAAAAAACGTTCCTTCTTTTCTCATAAAATTAAACTAAAAAAGCAAGATAAAAAACAGTTTTTAGCTTCGCTTCATTCTTCTTTCCCTTCCTTTCAAGAAGCCTTCAACTCCTTCCCTCTCAACTCCGTTCAGAAATATGACCTCATCACTAATCATATCCCTGACCAACTTCCTAACCTAAATCCCAAATTCCCCCCTAGTTCCCAATCCGCCTCCGCATCCTCTTCTTCTTCCTTGCCTTCCTCTGCTTCCTCCTCCTTTTCTTCTTCCCTTTCTCCCAAACGCACGTCCCTTCCTGCTCTTTGGTGGAGCGATGACTGTGAGGAAGCAATAGCAGAAAAGAAAAAAGCTTTAGCGCTATACAAACGTAACCCCTCCTATCAAAATTTCATAGAACTCAAGAGGCAAAAAGCCGTCACTAAACGAACTTTAAAATCAGCTAAAAGAAAGGACTGGAAATAATTCTGTTTATTATTAACTAATGAAACGCCCATCTCCTACATTTGGAGTATGATCAAGCGTTTTAAGAAAAGGCATTTAGGTCTTCCTTCACCTCTACCTAAATCTAACTACGAAATGCCAGACAGTATTCGAGATCTGATCAATTCTTTATGTCCTCCTTCTGTTCTATACAAACTCTATTCATCTATCAATGATTTGTCTAATGTCTATTCGTGCTCGACCTTCGACGAGCCCTTCACCTCCTCTGAATTTGCCACAGTTATAAGTAATCTTAAAATCCGCTCATCCCCAGGCCTGGATAAGCTGGGATATGACCATATATCTTTACTTCGTGACTTCTACTTTCCTTTCCTCCTTGATATCTTTAACGAACTCTATACAAAAGGTACCTTCCCAAACGCATGGCATCACTCCTTAGTATTCCTCATTCCAAAAAATTCTCTTAACAAATATCGCCCCATATCCTTAATCTCTTGCTGTCTCAAACTTATGGAGAAACTCATTCTTTCTAGGCTGGACTGGTGGGTTGAGAAAAATCGTATCCTCCCTAAGAACCAATATGGCTTCAGGAAAGCCAAATTCTGCCAGGATAACATAGGGATCCTTACCACTGAAATCTACAATGGTTTTATTTCCCGCCACACCACCGCATGTGTCTTCCTCGACATTGCCGGCGCATTCGACAACGTCATCCCCAGCATCCTCATAAAGGATTTGGTCGAGTTGGGTCTTCCTCCTAAGATATGCTTCTTCATCTACAACCTCACAGAATCATACCTTTCCTATAAAGGAGTTCCCCAAGGTTCCATTTTAAGCTCTTTGCTCTTCAACATTTATGTAGCTAAATGTAGAAACTACGTATCCAAAGAATGTGACATCATTCAATTCGCTGATGACACCGTCGTCTTTATCAGATCTTCTAATCTATCTCGCTCTCTTCAACTTCTCGAATCCTCAGTAAATAGACTTGCTTCTTTTCTTAATTCTAGAGGTCTGGATATCTCTCTTTCCAAATCTGCGCTCGTGGTCTTTGCTAGGAATAGGAAGAGCCCTCTCTCTTATTCTATCAACCTCTGCGGATCGACAATTAAGTCATCATCTTTCTACAAATTTCTAGGTATTACCCTTGACTCTAAACTCAATGGCCGCATCCATACAGAAACTCTCGTCACCAAATGCTCTAAACTAACTAACGTCATCCGCTCTCTTCGCGGTATCTGGTGAGGTGCAAGCCCCTCTCTCCTATTCAACATTTACAAATCTCTTATACGAGGAAGCATGGAGTATGGTTGTTTTGCTTTCTCTATCAATAACAAGGGACTTATGGAGAAGCTTGAAAAAGTTCAACGTCGCGCTTTAAGATTCTGTGTCGGTCTTCGTCAATCCACTCCTTGCAATGTAGTCTTTTCTGAAACTTACATCAGCCCTCTGAAGACTAGGTTCACATTTCTTACCTCTAAATATATTCTTAAAGCCTTAGCCGACGCTTCGCATCTCGTAATAGATAGGCTTCACGATCTTCAAATCAGCCTAATTAGAAGCGACAGATACAATGTTCCTAATTGCTTTCTATTGTATAAAGTCTTTCTTGTATATAAAAAATTTAAATCTAAGATTGCCTGCTTTGAGGTCGTGGGTTGAGCGCCTATCGGGCGCGTCTCCGGGCGACGGATAGGAGGACGCCCAGGTTGCCTCCAGGTTTGACTACCCGAGTAGGCTCCTGGGTAGTAGTGGCTATAACCGGCCTCGCGGGCGTAAAACCCTGTCTGGGGCTGGGAAGGTTACTGTCGCGGACCGACTCCCCAAGCCCAGTGTTGTTCTCGGGGACGCTTTCTCGCGCATGCGCGTTAAACGTGGCCTTAAGATACGTGTCAAATTTATAAGAAAAAGGGTACTGTTAAGCCCTCTGCTCAGATAATGTTAAGAATAATCTAAAATGTTTTACAAATTAATGAATCACAAATAAATAATAAAAAATTAATAAAAGACGATTATAATTAGCTTAAAAAATTTCTGGCATTAAACATATTATTGTAAGTAATGTACGTACACAAATATGTACTACATACGCCGTCGCTGGATTTCTCTACCAATGCTCTGCGCATGCGCGAGAAAGCGTCCCCGAGAACAACACTGATCCACGGCAAAGACGTATTCTATACTAATGTCTCCAAAATCAACTCTGACTTGCACGTAGGCTTCGCATTCTACTC